CTGAAAACTAAAAAGAAATATATAAAAAAATGTTGCATGAACCCAAACAGCATGAGTCACATCAGCCTCAAACACAAACAGGGAACATAAATAAAAACATGAGCTGAAATGAAGGCTAATCCAACCAATGATTGTCTTTAAGTCAGTTGTGGTTAATTTGGTGATGTTAATAGAGATTATACCATCATATGATATACTGAGGGTCCATTTAGAAGAACTATCTATGAGAAACTCTGAGTTGTAGCTTTAATATTTGCATTTCTGTCCATATGATATCTGTTGTGAAATCCTACATGAAAACACACCCATTACATGATGCTGCCACCACCATACTTCACAGCTGTAGGGTTGAAAAGATTTTTCTCAGATTTACAGGTTTATTCTTTTAATCTCCAAATGTAACTTTGGCCATTTTTGGCCAAGGCTTTAACTGCTTATCTCCAAACATGAAGGCTTTTCTCCATGGAGTCTTTCGTCTTTGTCGCTTTGAAGTAATGGCTTCTTCCTTTCTGGGTGGCATTTCAGCCGCTTACAAAGGAAGAAGCCTCTCTGCAACTGTTTCAGAAAGAGTGTATGTAAAAATGTATTTGTATAACAAAGTGTTTCAACAAACAAAGTAAATTTAACAAAACAAACTAGGTTATTGCTTCAGTTTTATCCTGATTTAGATGGATCAAAATTTTTAATTTTATACAACTGGATCATCAGCCTATTAAGGATAGGCAATAACCTTAAAAGACGACAGTAATGGGCGAAGCAGGAGTAGAATGTGTTCTGAATCTAGATGCAGAAAGGGAGGTTGATCTATCGACGAGGAGGGCAACCATTTTTTTTATCCATAACACAGGGCTGATCAAGAGCAGCGGTCTGCTGCTTGATGACCACCTTCTCTAGACCCTTGACTTATGCTATGTTCAGACAGCAAGCAGCAGAAGCAGCAAAAATGTGCGTGCTGCTTCATTTTTGATGATTGTATAAGTTTAATTCTGACAAGCAGCTGAAGCATCTTTGCTGCTCTAGCTGCGCAGTCGAAAAGTGGGTCTCATGCGCGTTGGGCGGAGCTACGCTAGGCTTTCTATGCCTGGAACAATGGCAGCTATTACGATGGAGAATTAGGCCCAGGCGAGAGATTTTTTTTCTTCTAGTTTAAGAATAAAGTCGTAACATTATTAGAATAAAGTCGTAACATTACGAGAATAAAGTCGTAACATTACGAGAATAAAGTCGTAACATTACGAGAATAAAGTCGTAACATTACGAGAATAAAGTCGCAATGAGAATAATTACACACTTACGAGAATAAAGTCGTAACGTTACGAGAATAAAGTCATAACGTTACGAGAATAAAGTCGCAATGACAATAATCACAAAATTACAACAATAAATTCTTAACATTATGAGAGTAAAGTAATAAAAGTGCGAGAATAAAGTCGTTACATTAATAGAATAAAGTCGTAACATTACGAGAATAAAGTCGCAACATTATGTGAATAAAGTCGTAACATTACGAGAATAAAGTCGCAATGAGAATGATTACAAACTTACGAGAATAAAGTCGTAACATTACAAGAATAAAGTCGTAACATTACGAGAATAAAGTCGTAACATTACAAGAATAAAGTCGCATTGACAATAATCACAAAATTACAACAATAAATTCTTAACATTATGAGAGTAAAGTAATAAAAGTGCAAGAATAAAGTTGTAACATTACGAGAATAAAGTCGTAACATTGCGAGAATAAAGGCGCAATGAGAATAATCACAAAATTACGAGAATAAATTCGTAACATTATGAGAATAAAGTAATAAAATTACAAGAATAAAGTAACAGAATTACGTCTATAAAGTCATAAAATTACATCAATAAAGTCGTAAGATTACGTCAATAAAGTCGTAAAATTACGTCAGTAAAGTCGTAACAATGAGAATAGTCATGAAATTACGAGAGTAAAGTCCTAATATTACAAGAAATAAGTTTTAATTTATGAAAACTCCTACAAGAAGCACTTTCTGCCCTAAAACGAGGAATGTGGAGCATCATATGAAGTTATACTTTAGCATCGGTTTGACAAATCAGGAAATCTTTTAGCAGCAGCATCAAACTGGGCAGGATGTCAAAGT